ATCCCCCTATATACACTCACTGCACTAAACAGAAAAAGAAGCATCCCAGGATTACATCGACTTCCTTATTAGAGCATCATGTTGGCAGCTCATGGTGGGTTTCTGGTCCAGCATGGCTTAAGATGCCACTCAGCATGATGGCTTTTCAGGGTGGATCTCCACTCCCTGCTGTTACTTCGCACTGGAGTGTTCTATGTATTGAACAGAACCGGGTTTACCGAATGGTATTTAATACGTCATCTGATGTCTGGTCCTTTTTGCACCCACAAGTTTATCAGTTTTTATACATATTCCTAAAATGGCTGACGAAATGTGAGGATCACAGTAGGTCTTGTTTAAGGACTATTCAGCAGTATCGTATTTTTGAAAAATTCATATACACTAGCCGGTTAATCATTAGTCTCCCAATGCGATAAGTATCACTAGTCCAGTTACAGACACTCACTTGGTTGTGCAAAAACACAAAATTAAGGGATTTCATCACAGCACGTGGTGACCTATGCAAATACCCCAGGTAACCCGGGATCTTTGTACAGTAGACAGGCAGAGATATGCATATGCTGGGAATGACACAATACACCTGAGGTTTGAAGTGCTTCTTAACTCATTTAGTTATCAGAATAAATCTTCCTGGAGGAGCGCAGAGTCAAGAAAAAATGCACCAGTTTCCAGTTTGCTGTTTTCAAAGCATCGGAACAGTGAAATCTCTTTATAATATGGTTGTTCAGATATTAAAAAAAAACGTAATTATTAAATGACATTTCCGAATTTCATATCAGAATTTTGCGTTCCTTGCCTTGTTCTTGAACATTTAAACACCTTAGCCATTGCATTCCATTTATGCCAAATTTGGAGTGATAGAGTTGAAGAACCACCAAGGTACAAATTTATTTTTCCTTCTTTTAATAAGATTTTAGTCACTGAGAATGATGATTGTTTTTTAAAATTTGTAAAGATGAGATGAGTTCTGATTAGCCCTAGCCAAAGTTCTTTTCATGGACTAAGTGGAAATTAAGGCTAGGTGGGGTTGGAGGACTGTCAGCATTTCATACCCTTTCTGTTCACATCGTATCGTAATCATATAATGACAGCCCCTCTGCTGGGAGCCTCTGTAATGCTGACATTAAAACCTGTAGTTTAAAAGCATTCAAATGAGATTTATGTGCTTTTAAACGCCATTAACTGCCATTATGAGTAATAGCTCATCTGATTAAATAGTGTGGATACATGGTACTAGGGCATCACACTTGAATTTTCTTCTTTTCTTGTATTTTTCAAGGAAAAATACTTTTAAACAGTGCAAAAGCATCTCAGTTCCTTCCTCCTGAAAACCTTGCTCACATTAGTCAAAATCCACTGTGATTTAGTGAAAAACACAGCATTGAATCCACAACAATCCACCCCGAAAACCAAAGTCTCGCTCTTTATTCCCTTTTTGGGGAAAAACTTTGCTTACTAATCAGAAACACTTTACTGTTACTAATAAATAAACATTTATATTATTTTGGATTTGTCTCTGGAATCTGCTTGTCTGTTCTGGCCCCTAAAGTCTCAAAAGCTCTGAATCACAGCTGATTTCCTCTTGATAAAGATAGTTACGTAAACATCTCTGCGTGGACCATGAATTCTGCTCCCAATGTACTGCAGCCTGGGGAGAAGGGCACTGTTTTTAGTCTAAGACTGTACGTATGTTCAAATAGGAGAAATAACCTAGATCGGTTGCAAACCTGGATGTCCACGTGACAAGATGCCTGCTCTAAACTACTAGAGCCTGCTCAGTACTCTCTGCTATCATCATGTCATGCTTAATCCATGGCAAGGTTAATTGTTCGTTGTTCATTGAGAACTTAACCCTGAGAAAAAGGATAGCTGTAATAAACCCTACCCATGGGACCCCGCGCTGCGCGTCCTTTGTTCCCCCAGTCTGCTGTGGTGGGTTGCACGGTGCTTTCATAGCAGCACCTTCCAGAGGCAGATTCTCCTCTGGGAGAAGAGGTCTCTAGCCTCTCGTGGCAAAAGGGAATCCTCTTCTATTTTCACACACTACTCAAGGGATGCAAGTTTTAAGCTTCACCGGTTGCAGATGAGGGGGCACCTCAGGCCTGATGCGTGTCTTTTGAAAAATTCTGTTGCCTTGGAATGTACTGAGGGTTCCCTATTCCTGCAGAAGTCAGCAGAGGTTGAAGTGTTCAGGAGCACTGACCTTTGCAACATACTAGCCCATCTCCTACTGACCACCTGAGAGGTAAGTGCTCGGGAGATGTGCTGTTTCTGAATGTTCTCTGGAGTTTTCGAACACAGTTTTGTTCGACCTTGTTGGTACTACAGCAGCATATATACACCTCTTTTAAAAAAAGCCTTTTTCTCAGTGTTCATCTGAAAATAGAGTATTCTCAGTGATGAAATATGAGATAAATTGAGATACAAGCTATCAAGTGTAAATTCCTGAGAAACTCCATTTGCTACTTGCAAATCTGTAAATCACTAAATCTGATCTGTCAGGAATAACGGAGAGCTACACGTGATAAGAGCACTGGGTCAAGGCAGAACAGAATAACATGCAGCAACAGCCTTGAGTTCTACAAAGGATTTCAGTAAAATGCTACCCATCAACAGACTCAGTTGAAGAAAATATGTTAGACAGTTAGCTCAGGGTCGCTAATTCTTGATTGGCAGTAAGCATTTTAAAACAGGGGTAGAATCAAAATAAACGGTTTCAGCCCAGCTTGAACCTAATGCGCCATGTGTGGAAAGGTTTTCTTGATACCACAGTAGAGTCATTTCTTTTACGTTTTATACCTTAGTAGAACTTTTGAATTATGTCAACCTAATCTCGATAATTGGTTGCTAGACTGAATCTTAATGTCAGTCAAACTCAGTGCCAGACGCTCAGCAGCTCCCTGTCAATAACAAATTAAGCTCACAAAGCACACCTTAACCTTCCTCCCAGTTTCCTTCCTCTTCGCATCCTGGAGTAATTTTTTCATTCATGCTGTCTTTTCCATGTGATCGTGATCTCCTTTCCTTCCAGGGAACAAATGTCTTGGAAAATCACCCTTTTTCTTGAGCACAAGACTGTTTCTCACAAACCATCTTGAATCTGGTGATGCTGTTCTAGAGTCTATTATTTTTTATGCAGAGCACATCTGAACTTTGGTTTTCTGTATAAATTCAGAATTACTCTGAATGCAAAGGAAACTATTGACACCACAAAGACATTCAGTGAAGTTTGTTTAAAAAAACAAAATTACTTGGCTGTTCTCTATCACTGTGTGAAGGAACCGCTTGTGGCTGTGGCACGAGACATGTAAATCAGCAGAGACTTCTATAGTAGCTCATATTCTATTGGTGCTGTAGGCCTCTAGGCCTGCATACTCACTTGGCTGACTTTTCCTCATGCAGTTTCTGGAAAAGGATGTGAACATCAAGGCTTGCACCCAATTTTGGGTGCCGCTTTACCCTACAGTCATCCTTTTCATTTCAAGTTGAATGTATAGATGTCAAAATCTCTTTGTACTGTTCAGGCACTAACTTGACTTTTCACCTCCTCAACAACCTCTACATCTAACCACTCAGCACGCTATACTCTGCCATTTTTATCTACACACTAAATATAAATCACAGCCACTATCCCTCTTACACTATTTGCAATTCTTGGCATGTATGTCATACCTAGTTCCTTAATTAAATCTGTGATTTACATAACCATTTGCCTTGTGTTGGAGTTGTCTCAGAGGCTTCCACAACAGTAATAACTAACCACTAATCTGTGAAAATTGCTGCATTAAAACACACCCAGGTTAATAACTGGAACTAGTCTTCGTTTACTGTTGTAAACGTGAATGTTTGTGAAGAGGAAAATTGGATTCACATATGCCAAGTTGTGTCTTTCTTTCAGAGTTTGCCTGGGAATGTCCCTGCCATTGTCTTGCAAATCTTTGTAGTTGCACCACTTTAAATCTGGACTGATTCAAATGACTGTGTGAAGATACGAAAATGCTCAAAGGGGGAAGAAAAGGAAAAGAACTCTTTAATTGGGTGTTAATTGTTATTTGAAATAGCCTTTTACGTTTCTGAACCGTTATCAGAAAGATGGCAATTATAAACAGACAGGCAATGGATACCCCAGTTTAATAAATGTTCTATTTTGGTTTATTTGCTTTAAAAAGAGGGATATTAGGATTATCTCAGTTACAGAGAATCTCTCCATTAGCAAATACTCCTCATTTTTAATGTAGGTCTCTGTCTATAAGTTATTTACCTTGGAGAGAGCTTTTTTTTCTGTAGCTCCCCTCTCTCCTCCCCCTCTTCCTCAAACAAACACAAGTAATCTTGCTCGCCAGGCAAAGCGTCTCTGCCTATCCAGGCCTACCTTTGATGTCCCACGCTCCTGAGCAGAGTTAAAAGTAGATATTTCTGGTTTTAGTATCCATTTGCACTTGGTTTGTTATTGTTTTGAAGAGTGGCACTAGGACCTTCGCTACTTCTGCAAAAGATGAGCCTATGGCATTAAGCATGGATGTGAAAGCCTCATGTGTCTTGAATACTCAGTGGATCTAATTAACAGGTAGAATCGCACCCAGGGTGCTTGAAAAATTGCCAGACACCATAGAAACGAGTCCTTAAGTCCTCGCACCATCTGCACTTTCTTTTCATTGTGGAAGTCTCATTGAAACATGTTTTTCTACCATTCTAAAATCATTTGTGCGTTAATGGAAAATTCCTGCT